GAGAAGCATATGTTAACTTAAATTTTGAAGAATCTTTGGAAATTGGAAAACAGAAAACACAAGAAAACTTTTCCTAAATGCATGATTGACTGTTACACTTGTTCTGTTTTATTTGTGAGTATTTCTTTTCTTTGCATTCATCTGTCTTCATAAAATTATGAGGTGGAAGAGCGGAATTTTTTTTATATGTATGATTAAGGGTCTATATTACTTTTCTGATAAACATGCTAGGTGTCCTGTAGTTACTTATTCCAATCTGAAAACATGTATGTACTTACATAAACATTGTTGGATTATTTTTTGGGTTTCCAAGTCTTTATTTAACGTTCAAGTCTAAAGCCACATTTATCCATTAAAGGTATGCTGCAACACATATACCCTTTGAAATCTTAATAATTAATTTATTAGGCTAAATCATGTGCACACAATTTAGACACACCTCTGGTCAGTCATTATCACCCCTCTGGGCAATGACAGTTATGTTTTCTGGTTACAGTTAAAAAAAAAGGGGGGGGGGGTCGGTATACTGAGGTGAATTACCTAAGTTTTGTTTCTATAAAAATGGCCAGTGTCCAGTTTTCTGGGATGGCCTGTTTAGTGAGAATTTATTAGGTTGTTAAGATTTCTACCAGGACCTGAAAAAGTAGACTGAAATTTATAGGGGAACACAGATTTTGAGACGTTTTCACTGTTAATGTATCGGCTTTCACAATAAAAACTGTTTAGAACAAAATACTACATACGAAGAAAAATTAAAGAAAAAAAAAACACACACACCAATGACCTAAAAAATGAAGTTTCTGTTTTAGTAAGGCAATATAGAGTTAAGTTTTTCTTTTGAATTGGGAATTTCGGAGTAACTGCCCTACTAAAGGGAAACTCCAATAAACAAAGTGCCTCTCCTTCTATATAGATGCAATAAAATCAAATAGTCAGATACATTAATAAATAAAAATTTACATATAAACAACAATTTTTAAGGAAAAACAAAAATAATATTATCTAAAAATACAAATAACTCATGTGAACAAATAAGGGACAAACAATGTTTAAACTTGTTTCAAATACAGAGACACAGCTTTTAGAATACAAGGTCATCACTTGAAAAAGTTGTTCCTTCAAGCAAAGGGAAATAATGAAAATAAAGAAAACATTAACATCAATTATTTGTACTACACAAGAAAATTGATTTTATATGCGATCGCTTATCTTTTCTTAAACCTTTAAATCTCTAGTTAGTATAGCAATTTTTTCTTTACAAAGGTAACTCTGTTTAAAATGCAAACACTAACTGATGGAAAAAAAAAATACTCCTTACAATTTATGAATCACGATTAATAAAAAAAAAGATACTGTGTATGTGTTTTAAATTAAGCTATATAATTATCTTTCCATAATTTAAGAATAAAATATGCGATTACATGTAGACTAAGTAATTAATGCATACTCAAAAAAAAGAAAGATTTAAACAATCAATAAGTACTGTTAAGAGTAAAATGTTGTTAATTTTCTATTAAGATATTTCTCCTTATTCTTACTTACTCAGCAGTTTGAGTTTATCAACCAGATATGAGTAACTGAATCCTACAACTTTCCCAGTTTTATCGACTCTCATGACTTTTGTTTCAATGTAATTTTATTTATGTGTATCTTAGCTTCATTCACATCCTGTCCCTGGGGACTTTGTAACTTTCTGTAAATTTCAATTACTCATTTATAGCTTCTATATAATGCCTGTAAGTGAATTTTTATTCAGTCTTCTGTCACTCAAGGGACCTGTTGCAATCTGTTTTCGTCCGTCGTCACGCGTCATCCGTTGTTCGTCGGTCGTAAACTTTTGAACATTTTAAGCTTCTTCTCTGGAACCGCTGAACCAATTTCAACAAATTTTGGTTTAGAGCATCTCTGGGCAAAGAGGGACCAAAATTTTGAATTTTATGGTCCCTCCCCCCCCCTTGGACCTGAGGGTGGGGCCAAAACCATAAAAATTAATGCGATTTTCAAACATCTTCTTTACTCCTGGACATCAAGAGTCAAACTGTTGTCATGATTATAACATAAAATGAGTCCTTTACCTAAATTGTGAAATTCATGGCTCCAGAGTCAGGAGTTCTGGAGTTAGAGTGGGGATCTATTGACCGTATAGTGAAATTGCATAATATTTTTAAAAAGCTTCTTCTCTCGATCCCCCTTTATATTAAACAAAGAAACTATGATGAACAAAGGTGCCTCTTCTAAAATTGTGAATATCATGACCCCTGGGTAAAGGTTCTGGTGTAAGGGGTTCTGTATATCAATTATGTAGTGAAAATGCACTATTTCTTAAAAAAAATCTTCTTTGCTCCTGGGTATTTGGTAGATATACCACGTGCATGGTTATTTTTAGCAGGGCTGCTTTTTCCAAAATTGTGAATATTATGGCCCCTAGGTAAGTGTTCTGGTGTTAAGGTGGGGCACTATTGATTATATAGTGAACAAGCAGATATTCTTTGAAAATCTTCTTATCTATTCCTGTGTATTAAGCAAACAAACTAAATGCATAGTTATGATGAGCAAGGGCGACTCTTCCAAAATCTTGATTTTCATGGCCCCTGGGTTAGAGATTCTAGATTAGGGTGGGGCTCTCTTGATTATATAGTGAAAATGAATAAACGTTTTGAAAATCTTCTTCTGTTCCTGGGTATTAAGCAGTTAAATAAGTGTTTGGTTATGATGAGCAAGGATCTAAAATTGTAAAATTCATGGGCCCTGGGTCAGGGGTTCTAGTGTTCGGACGGGGATCTATTTATTTTTATAGTAGAAATGTATAAATTCTTTGAATATTTTATTCTCTTCTCCTGGATGTTTAGCAGATTAACTTAAAGCATGGTTATGATGATCAAGGGTGTCTCTTTCAAAATTTTGAATTTTGTGACCCTTGGGTCAGGGGCTCTGGTTTGGGGGGGGGGGGGTCGCCTTACTTTTATTTTCTAGTGAAAATGCATAATTTGTATTCTACTGAGAGATGTTATTCCCCTTTGCTATTCACCTTTGATAAATTGAAAGGTCAAATCTATTGAGAGATTTCTACAAGGATTTTTATAACATATAATACAAAAAGCACTTTCATAGTTCGTAGTCATCAGGAAGACTTGTTAATTATAGAAAATAAAAATGAGACAACAAAAATCCCTTATCTTTGTACATTAAATGTTCTTCATTGACCAGGAGAGGTCAATGTTCGAGAGGGAATGAGATGGGTTTTCTGATAGTGCTCAAGCACTATTGTTTTCTTTAGTTTACAAGATAATTGTTAGGATTGGGAGCAGATTTGTTAAGGAGTAGTAGACTAGTTATTTTGTTGATCCCTAATCATGATATTTCTCTAGCTTTTGGGCAACATACCTTCATCTATCAGTTTGTTGTATTTCATACTCCTATGGATTATACTCAGGTGACCGTTAAGGACCTTGGGCCTCTTGTTATTTATATTACCTGTTGCTTTGACTCAAACATTCAATTAAACAGTTTAGAGATTCCCAAAATTAAAAAGAATATCATAATATATTCCATAAACTTCTTCCTCTTATTTAAGCAACTCAGATAAATGCAAAAATACAAAAAGTTTATGCTATAAAACACAGTTATTTGAGTATGCCATTGCATATGTGAAGCCCACTCTAGATTCACCATTGTGAATTGAACCCCCCCCCCCCCCCAACACCACCCCAGTACACTACTGCATCTTCCGTTTAATAATTAATCGATTCAGCAAACTAAACAAATGGTATAATGGCTACAGTGCTGGCTCACCTATCTTTTTAAAAGAAATTAAAGCTTGTAAACTTTAAATCACCCATTATTGCGCAACCCTACCCGAAGGGGTTCATGATTTGTATAAACTTTTGAAAGAACCTACAGCAACTGATGATTCTTCCATTTTATGTAAATATCTAGTGTTCCAAAGAAGGCATGTGTCGCCTGCTTTGTAGCTTCATTAAAGATGCAAATAAATCTAAGAGTGTCCAGCTATTAATTTACTACAAGCATGGTAGTTCATTCATTTGCCTGCAAAGAAAAAAAATCCAATAGTATAAGACTGGGATAGAATCTGACAATCAAAGAAAATATAGTTCCCAAACCCTCAAATGAATAATTAAATTGAAATTATTAGAAATAATTATTTATCATTTTATTAATACACATGTACGTGTTTCCACCAATCCTCCAAAAGTGGATTTCAGTTTCTTTTACTAACCTTTATTGACCAACAATGTAAAAACAGCATTTAAATGTTACATTTATTTATCATTCCATACATTTTTTGAATTTTGAATTTATTGATATTGTTTAATTTTATTGTCTTTTACTCTGTTTAAACAAGTTGAATAAATTGAAAAACTATAATAAGATAAATTGATTCGTTTCACAACTTGCAGGAATGACCACATTAACATAAAAAATATCCCACCCCCACTCCGGTAAAAAGAATGCCGGTGACATCATAGTCTAAGGGATGTTACAAAGCTATTAGCGTCATTACTAACATTTCAGTTAGAAACATTGCTTGTTCACAGCAAAAAATCAGACTAAATATTTTTGAAGATGGGAGCGATAGAAAGAGAGGTAGGAATCATCTTTGTCGTAATTGAATATGTAAATTAATGTTTATGGCGTGCTTACCATTCATATAATTGCATATCGATCGAGTCATAACTAGAAAAAAACATATTTTTTCCCTTAAATTTAATTGGAGGAGGTTAATACATACATCTAGACAAACTTATTGAGAACTGTATATGCCTTGAACTGGTAATTAATATGAGTGCTATGGTTATAATCCCTTTTATTTGTTTATTGAAGAGAGGGCATTATCTTTCCCATTGAAAATACTTTTTAATCGAATGACTTCACAGTATCTATGACGTCACTATATCAAGGTCGTCACAAAGCTATTAGCATCACAACAAACATTTCAGTTAGAAGCATTGTTTATGCACAGGAAAATTTCACATTAAATATTTTTGAAGATGGAAGTGAAGGAACGAGAGGTAGGCATTATCTTCCTCTTAATTAAAAATATATCAATGTCTGTTACTTAAACGTTCTTGCAATTCATACAATTTCAAATCGATCTAGACATAACTAGAAGAGACTGAGTTTTTTTTTAATCTATATACCGCAGGAGGGTGTTTATACACACTTATTAAAAAAAACATGATATATGCCATCAACTTCTACGTAATTATAAGAGTCATTGTTACATGTATGATCCCTAGTTTTATTGGAGGGATGGACATTATAAATTTTCATGCTGATATTGTTATAATGTTTTTATTTAATCGAATGACGTCACAATAACAATGACATCATTGTATCAAGGTCGTCATCATGCACGCTACAAATTTTAAAGCATCAAGAATTCGTTGTATCGTTACGAAAGCCTATAAGGATCAAACTACGGTAAAAAAATTTAAAAGGCGTTATAACTCCTTTTGAAAAGGCGTTATAACGCGAAAAAAAGCGTAATGACGCCTTTTGAAAAGGCGTTATAACGCAAATAAAGGCGTAATTACGCCTTTCCAAAAGGCGTTATAACGCGAAAAAAGGCGTTATTACGCCTTTCCAAAAGGCGTTATTACGCCTTTCCAAAAGTTGTTATTACGCCTTTCTAAAAGGCGTTATTACGCCTTTCCAAAAGGCGTTATTACGCCTTTCCAAAAGGCGTTATTACGCCTTTCCAAAGGCGTTATTACGCCTTTTAAAAAGGCATTATTACGCCTTTAAAAAGGCGTTATTACGCCTCTTTTTTTCAATACATGACTTACTTAGCACACCCTGGGGGCTGATTATTATTAGATTTCCAGGAAAAAAGATTTTTAAATGTGTAAAATATTTTCAGTGTTAAACCAACTTAGTCCTTCTCTGATGCCAGACGCCTCTACCAAGGTGCATGGATTTCAGAAATTTGGTTGAAGGCTAATTGCTCATTATACCTATGCAAATACGTTGCCTGTTTTTTTACCAAGAGGAGAGAAAAATATTTCAAATTTGTCATGAATTTTTAATACGTGGCTAGCAAAGCCCAAAGCTGGTTCTGCCTACATGTACTAGTATATCCTGGATTTTCAAAAGTAGAGTGTTGACTTCTCTTAATATGCATGCAAAATGCAAACAACTGTCTGCGAGATGTGCAGGAATATAGAAAATACTATAATTTATAATATAATTTATAATATTAAAACTATAATCTAAATATTGCATAAATAAAGATGGCTTTGGTTCAATCTTTCATATATTTACTATTTTAAAATAACGCCTTTCCATTTTTGGATATAACTCCTTTTCAAACAGGCCGGTAGTACGAATGCGAGTGAGGGGGGGGGGGGGGGGCTCCCACACCCCACTTTTTGAGAGAATAGTCTTGCTATAGTTTAAATGTAAAAAATCATTTATTGATTGCTTGGTCCCTTAACATTTTGTTGCAGTATGGTTAAACTCGGGCAAGTCATTGCATTTTAAAAAAGTTTTACCGAAAAATTAGAATAAGTTTCCCCTCAAGTTTAGGCAGTTTATTTTTTTTCGGGAGGCTTGTCAATTTTATGGGACCCCCCCCCCCTCCCACTTTAAAAGCACGGGCCTGTCAAATACATAATAATGGCCCTTCAAAAGGCATAATAACGCCTTTTTGAAAGGCGTATTAATGCCTTTTTGAAAGGCGTTATAACGCCTTTTGGAAAGGCGTAATAACGCCTTTTGGAAAGGCGTAATAACGCCTTTTGGAAAGGCGTAATAACGCCTTTTTTCGCGTCATAACGCCTTTTGGAAAGGCGTAATTACGCCTTTATTTGCGTTATTACGCCTTTTTCCGCGTTATAACGCCTTTTCAAAAGGCGTTATTACGCCTTTTTTCGCGTTATAACGCCTTTTAATTTTTTTTAACTGTAGTTTGATCCTAATAGGCTTTCGTATATCGTTTAGTAGTATATTTTCCTTGGTTCTTTTTAATAATGGCAAGTTCATTTGAGGTAAGTTATGTGAACGGTTGAAAAATATTTTCATTAAGTTTTTAACTGCAATCAACATATCATATTAAATTCTAAATACTATATACACCATTTTATTATATGATTGAATAATTTCCCTCTTTCTGATTGGCTGAGATCCAACAATGTTAGAAAAATACTACGTTATATTGACCTACACGTGACCTTCCAGGTCAATATAAGGAATTATTGCAGGTCAATATAATGAATCACGTGACCTTCCAGGTCAATATAAGGAATTATTGCAGGTCAATATCATGAATTATTCCTGTTCCATTTTTTCATGTTACAATGTGTTCTTGTTGAAATTTCTCGTTAAAACTTTCAATTAAAGCAAAAAAAAAAAACAGTCTTGTAGGAGTTTGCTATCATTTAATCATATAATAAAACAGTTATTGCTGTTTTTGAGGTCAATACGATGATTTAGACACCTGAGGAGTACAATATTCACCTCGCCCTTCGGGCTCGGTGAATATTGTACTCCTCAGGTGTCTAAATCATCGTATTGACCTCAAAAACCAGCAATAACTGTATAATATTTAGATAAGAAGTCAAAGAAGGAAATACAATTAAAAGATAATCTTAACTTAATGGTGTCTATTGTGATTTTATCATAGAACTCGGAGAAGCTGAGAGAATGTCTCAAGAATGGCTCATTGACTCTGAGAGACTTAGACAACAAGGTACGTATACATTAAGGAATAATTCAATTAAAATTCATATCAGTGGACTTTGTAAAAAAAAAAAAAAATAGTGAGCACGGGGGAGTTGAAAGAGTACCGAGAAAAAAAATTAAGAAGAGATTTCTTCCGAACTTTTTAAAATAGAAGAGGGGGTCCTCGAGAGGCAGAAGACGACGCAGCAAAGGCAAGAGTGGAAAAAATGTAACAACAGATGATGCGACAAATACACAAGCGATTGATAAACCACAAAGCACCTTGAAGGCTTCCAAGATTACCAGACAACCAAAAATGGAGAGCAATTCGAAAACTGCAGAAAAAAGTCTTAAGTTGAAATCTCAAGACAAGGAATCAGAAAAGGTAAGATTTGTAATGGTACATTTATATATTTTAATATGACCAGAAAAAGACCTTTCTGCTGTTTGATACTAAATAGTTTGAATCTTACATTACCTATTTGATATCGTTCTAGGTTGTACGCAGCATCCTTGATGACGTAATTGATCAGGTTTCCAGATATTGTTCTGCTACTAAGAACAGGTTTGTTAAAAATTAAATAGACTTAAATTATTTTCAAGGAGGATTTACTTACGTCTTCTACAATTTTAATAATTCCAACTTAATTATATTGAGTAGTTCCGGAGATGTAGGCTTGGTTGTTTCTTCCTTTCAGCATTGCCAAAGAACAGACAAATATGACCCCCACCCTGATGGGAGCTTCCGACGAGAGAGTAGTAGCTATCCGAAATTTCTACGCAGACCAGAAAAGAGCAACACAGCAGGTATAATAAATACGTATTATAATATGATGTTTAAATGAAGATGAATGTACTGTGTTTTCCTGGCATAACAAAATAAAGGTACATCCACATACATGTGAAATAATAACAGTCAAATCTCGTTATCTCGAGTTAATAGGACTGAAGAAAAACTTGGAGATATCCGAGAATTTGAGATATCGAGGGTAAAATACTTAAAGAATAAGTTGTTGGGACTTCCAAATCAGTTCGACACATCCCTGGTATTCGAGATATTGGTGTTCGAGATACCGAAGTTCAACTGTAATTTTAATTAGGATTAACACAATTTTATACCTAATGTCTTTGGGTGCTGAAGAGCACAATTAAATAAATTTTAATTTCTTTATCGACAGTTATTATATAAAGCAGCAGAGGAAAATGTGAAGGACTTGATCATGCGTGCAACTACACGTCGTCGCGATATTCCTAGGTAAATACAACCTGGAAAGCAAAAACTCCTTCCTATAGATAAAACAAATTGTTGTCTTGGGGGGTTGGGGTGTCATAGTCGCACATTAGAAGATGAAGTTCAATTTGCAATGCATTTAAGCAGATTATATACGTGTAATTTAGAAAAGTTCCATTCTTTAAATCAAGGGATTTTCCTTTTGCAATTTTAAACAAGATGGAAAATGCAGAGTTGAAAAAATGGGAACGGCTGTATGACAACATTATATCATTCGTACATTTCTAGAGCATAAAGGTTCAGAAGAAAAATAGGGTTACATTATATATATTGCTATGTTGTATTTATATATATATATATATATATATATATATATATATATATATATATATATATATATATATATATATATATATATATATATATATTAGGGATGGCAATTTGTAACCGGTTAACCGATTAATCGGTCGGAACGATAGTAATCGGTTAGGAAATTCGTAATCGGTTAGTCGGGAAAAAAAATATGAAAATATGTGTAAATTTCCTTAAAATTCAATATGCAATTTAAAAAAGCTATGAATGTTGTTAAGTTATAACGTTTTCACATAAACATGTATTTAGATATAACTCATTAAGGCTCTTCGGACTGAGGTGTTGGGGTAATTAATTGGTCAATTTGTGAAGTGTTGATTGCTGTTTAAACACCATGTCGTTACCCAGCCTGTCCTATATGTTTTTAATGACAATAATTAAATCACCGTTGAGTATTATAAACTGATTACATTGTGTATCTTTTGCAGTTATCTGTCAAATTATATTTTTATGCAAACATTGTAAATTAAGTAATAGTGTATACTTTGTTTTTAATTATGGTGACAATGCAGAATAACCGTGTGTAATGTCTGGGCCCCGGGGTCGTCAGAAAGTTATCAATGTCCTACATGTATCCCGTGGATGTTTTATGTTTTCCCTTTCGAAATTGAATTAAAATACGTAAAGTATAAAGATCAAGCATAAATAGATTATCAATAATGCCGTATTTTAATTTATGTATTAATTTATTGCGAGGGGGAGGGGTATGAATAGAATTAATTAAAAAAAAAACATGTCCGGAAATGTATATTATTTTGTTACGATTAACCGGTTAATCGGTCGGAACGTCTTGCGGTTAACCGATTGACAATTCTGTATTCGATTGCCATCCCTAATATATATATATATATATATATATATATATATATATATATATATATATATATATATATATATATATATATATATATATATATATATATATATATATATATATATATTGAAACATGTAAAAAAAAAATGTTTTTCAGCCCCGACAAGGGACAGTTATCTAAAACTGCCCCACTCATATTTGCAATTTATGGCGCACGACAGAGGGCATACCAACAGTGGATGATCTCTGAGAAATTGAAAATGCGAAAGGTATCTATTGAATAGAGAAATATTTATTCTGTATACCTTTAAATTTAATATTGTTTATCGTATTCTTTACACACATACTCTGAATATTGTGTTTACTGATATAATATCTCGAATACGAGGAATATGTTGTTAAAAGTAGCTGTCTCAACCACTTTTTCTTCACGTTTTTTATCCTCGTTATCTCGAATCCTCAGATATCACAAAGCCTAAACTTGGTCCGATAGAGTTCAAGATAAAGAGGTTTTATTGTATATGAAGACATTGTACATTTGAAAGACAAGGGAGGAGATTAAATTATCAATTTTCTTCATTGACAGTTATTGTATAAAGAGGCACAGAAAAATGTGGACGACCTGATAATCCAAGCAACTACTAACTGCGATATTCCTGGGTATGTACAAAAAGTAAATCAGTTTCTTGTAACAGCGTGATTTTATTTTCATTCAAACTAAGGGTAACGGAGAAGATTCACTCAAGAATAACAATAAATACCAGAATTTTATTCTGCTAGTGCAAGTTGAAAGAAAAAAAAACATTTTGCTTCTATTGTCAGCTTTTTTTTTTAGTAATCTATAACAGCTGTCAAGGAAGAGATAAACATAAATTTTGCCTAACTATTCACCGAGTTATTTCCTTTTACAGACCAGTCAAAGTAGAAGTGGATGTGCCTAGCTTGCTACGATTTGTTTACAGACCAGTCAAAGTAGAAGTGGATATGCCTAGCTTGGTGCGATCTGTTTACAGACCAATTACAGTAGAGGTGGATATACCTAGCTTGGTACGATCTGTTTACAGACCAATTATAGCAGAGGTGGATGTGTCTAGCTTGGCACGATCTGTTTTCAGACCAATTATAGTGGATGTGCCTAGCTTGGTACGATCTGTTTACAGACCCATCAAACTAGAGGTGGATGTACCTAGATTGGTGCGACCTGTTTACAGACCCGTCAAAGTAGAGGTGGATGTACCTAGCTTGGTACGACCTGTTTACAGACCCGTCAAAGTAGAAGTGGATGTACTTATTTTGGTACGATCTGTTTACAGACCCATCAAAGTAGAGGTGGATGTACCTAGCTTGGTGCGACCTGTTTACAGACCAGTCAAAGTAGAAGTGGATGTACCTAGCTTGGTGCGACCGGTCAAAGTAGAGGTGGATGTACCTATCTTATCACAATCTGCAGAATGTGATTCCAGACTGAGGGCACTCTTTGAAAAGAGGAATGCTGAGAAATTAACATTGCAAAAGGTGTTTATATAATGGAATAATAAAATATGTCCATATTGTGTATTGTAATAACTCCTATTTAATACACCTCAGTAAAACTTTATCATAATAATACCTTGTTACAAAGATATTAGAAAATTTGTCTTTTCGTTATTTAGACTATGAACAACACAGCCTCGGAGGTCGTTGAAGACCTATTTACCTGTGCAGCCACTAACACAAGGTTTGTCCAATATTTGTACTTGAAATGATTTATACATAGTAATATATTCATTGATTGCAGAAATAAAGCCGACCAAAAATTTTGTCCATTATTTGATTTCTTCCATCTTTCGTTTATAGCTTAAAGACTTTATCTGAACCAGATGTAAGCAACGAAATGGTACGTATTTCATATCAAAAAGCACTATGTAACGTTATTTATAGTTTACCTTTTTTAAAATGGACAAGTGTAGCTTAAAAATAAATAAGAAAACAACAAGATCTGAAGTGAATTTTGACTTTTAGGAGGATGATTCTGTGCCAACACAGAAAGGCTGGAGAAGATTCATTTGTTGTGTCAAACCAAAGAAACAACAGGTAAACGTCCATCATTATCACATCATATGCATTTCAATTTTCTTTTTTGGTCATGTGTCCTGGTGTACACACAATGATTGAGTCCTACAAACGTTTGACTACGCACTTATTATTTCAGCAGAAGAAAGAGAAGAAAGGGAAGTTTGGATTGCTTACCAGACTGCGCCGCTTGTTTAACTGCCGCTAAATTGTCTGAAAGTTCTAGTTTATCATTAGAAGATATGTGTATATAGAAAACATTTTTTTGATTCAAAAAAGTTACATATAATTTGGTAGATGATTTGGACAATTCACTTACTATAACCATTATTTCGAGAATGGAAGGATGTAAACGTTATTTTATAGAATAAATTTTATATTCATGTTTTTGTGTACTAGTATTTGTTTAGTTTTTATTGCTTTCCTCAAGTTTCCCTAATGAGAAGTTACCGCCTAAACATTAATCTATGTTTTAGTAAAATGGCAGATGAACACAGTTTCATCATCCCCTCTCCATATATAGTCCTCAAGAGTCTGCTTGCAATGGCCAGTACCTGTAAACCTAATTCCTTTTTGTCCTGAAGTAGCCTCTGATGTCAAGTAAATTTAGCCTCCACTTAAGTACACTTTCAGGTGACATCTTTGAACAAATTTGAATCTTCGCTATTTGAGAATGTTTCTGTACTATAGGACTATAAACATGGCTTTCCTGTTCTTGAGAAGAAGACTGTTTTTAAGTATATTTTCATATATATTCCAGTGTATAACTTTGATCCCCTGTTGTGGCCCAACCCTGTCCACGGGGGTCATATCCCTTACATACATCAAAACCTCCATCCAGGCGTCTGATCCCCACGAGTGATGAGTAAAAGACGAGATCACCCGTGGGTATGGATCCGACGATGTACAATTAATTACCCAAAATGTACTTTGATACATTGGATTAATCCACAATGCTAAATCATACAGTTGTACTCATCTTAGACATACCACTGGTACTTATGGACATAACCCCCTCCCCCAGATATTCAACCCCGGGACTTGTTAGGCATTTTTTCACAAATTATATTTATTACACTTATTTACCATGTGTACCATAGGTAAGACCCTAACATAATCGTTCCACCCAAAAATACCCCCTATATATTATAATAGAGAGATTTAATGGAAAGAGAGGTATTTTTTGTATGGAACGATTATTTAGGGGTTTTCCCCAATTTTTTTCCCTATAATACACATGATAGATAAGTCTCATAAATAAGTCCAACAAGTCCCGGGTTGAATATTGGGGGGGGGGGGGTTGCTCCTGTCCACAAGTACATGTGAGACTTACAGAGACTTACCTCTAACCAGTCATTAAACCTATTAGCACTCTTCTGGCCAATGGCAGTTATATTTCCTAGTTACAGTATTTAAAAAAAGTGGTCGGTATACTGAGGTGAAATTACCTAAGTTTCTTACCTTTTGTTTTGTAAAAGTGACCAATATCCAGTTTTCAGGGTTGGTCGTTTTTTTTTTCCTGAGAATTTATTTGTAAAATGAATATTAAATATCCGTCGGAATTTTAGAAATCGGCCTATTTTTTTGAGAAGTTTCACTGTACATGTATAAGCTTTCACAACGAAACATTAAAGCAAGAAAATATATTTACATAGGAAAAACCACTTTCTACCATCCGCAGAACCTAGATTGATGAAAAACATTAAAAACAACACAAAATGATTTTAAAATGAAGTTTCCGTTTTAGTATGGCAATATGATGCAATATATTTTGAGTAGGGCCATTTTTGAAAGATTTGCTTAACTTGCCTTACTAAATGGAAACTCCATAACCAAATCTGCCTCTTCTTCTATATAGATGCAACAATACCAAATAGTCGGATACAAAAATCATTAGAAATTTACATGTGAACGACAATTTGTACAGAAAACAAAAATATACTGCTGTAAAAATATGAATAACTTATATTTCCAAGTAAGGAATAGACAATGTTTAAATTTGTTCCAACTCGAGAAAAGACAGCTTACAGAATACAAGGTTATCACTTGAAAAAATGTGTATCTTCAAACAAAGGGAAACAATGTAATCTGAAAACAGTAACATCAACTATTTGTATTATGCATGAAATTTGCTTTTAGATGGAGTTGCTAAATCGGTTATATAAAACCTTTAAATCTCTGGCTAGTACATGTATATATAGCATTTTTTTCCTTTACAATGGTAACGCCGTTTAAAATGCCAACACAAATTGATGGAAAAATTTTACTCTTTGCACGAATTCATTTAGGGGGTTTCTTTATGAATCACGAATATTGATTAATTTTTTTAAAAGTTACTTTTCTTGAATTATGCAACTTTGTTATCTGTCCATAATTAAAGAACACAATATACAATCTGTAATGCATACTGAAATAAAACTTAAAAGATTTTTAAAAACAATCAAATACACATATTGAAAATAATGTTGGCATTTAAAGTGAAGTGGAGACTACTACATATATCGATCTTTTATCTTCAAAACCATGTTCTAAATTATTCTTCTTGTGTCAGCATTCATGTTGTTCTGATGTTATAATATATGAAGCCTTCTGCTTGGAGCAAAGTAAGGAAGCTTGTCTGTAAGGCAGAAATTTATACACAGTCTGCGCGTTTGCAAATGTTCAAATTTCTTCAAAATGCTTAATATACGTGTATTTAAAAAATAATACTGAGTAATTGTATATAAAACAATTTTATCTACCATGAATAAAGTGATGCAAAGTACACTGTAAATCTACCTACTTTATAGAAAGTTTTTCAATATCTTCAGCATTTTTGTTTAGCATTAATGTTTGGATTCTCAAATTGTAGAATCTTTTCGTATGTCGTATATTTTGTAAATATTAAAATCTTTGGATATTCACATGCCATGGAACAGTCTTTGGCAGAGATATGACAACAGCACATCCTTTAACAATGTGCTTGGCAGAGATATGACAACAGCACATTCTTTAACAATGTGCTTGGCAGAGATATGACAACAGCACATCCTTTAACAATGTGCTTGAATTGAATAAAACGTATACTTAAAACTCTCTCTCTCTCCCCCCCCCCCCCAGGTCCGTGATTTGATGTTCTGAATGCCGTAGCTTTCTGCACACTTTATAAACAAAATACATGTTGGATGTAAAAATTATACCATAAGATATGCTTATGGAAATTTATTGTATAAGTTATTTTTTTAGGTTAATATTTGATTATAATCTTTATTACAATGTATTTTCCCCTCCGTAAATAGGACCAGCTTGCAGAACTTACAACATTAATGACAGATGAGGAATTTCGAAATATACGTATGCCTGTACATAGGAGAGACTGAGAAATTAGAAGAATCACAGGAACGCGTGTCTACAAGAAATACCATCTAGGAAAACGATTCAGTTTACCTCAAGCAATCCCAGAAAAGATAAGACACCGAGAAGCGACAGACGGTAAAAGTAGTTATGGTAAAGAAAAATTAAAGAGGAAATCAAACAGGCGATTTGGCAACAAAAATGCCGAAAAAGAGTGACGAAGAATCGAATAAGGGTGAATTCACAAATTAGATGAGAAAAAGTATTAAAATAGGAGTAAAAAGGAAGGTGGTACAAAAAAACCGTCACTTAACAAAGACGCATCAAAAAAGGATTGTTAGAAATAGGGAAAAGGTTGATCTTCCCAAACGAGTTCTCTATAGGCAGTTATAGCAATTTTTTAATTGATGTATGGGATTATCATTAGATAACACGAGGAACATTGATATTTGTAGGAGCATGGATGAAAATACAGCATTTGGGCAAATGTATAAAGATACAAAACGGTTGGGCAAATGTATAAAAATATCAAAATATTATTACATGTATATCAAAATGCCCATTGTTTGATTTTATTTTGCTTCAGTAGAACCCAAGGATGACGTCGTTAGGCAACAACTAAATGATGATTTGGATAAGGATTCACTCTCCGATCCCCATGGACCATCCAGAAAAAATCCGTGTTTGAGGCATGATTCTGGAGAACAGTGGAAATCCATGGTAGTTCAATTTTCTGCTGGTTTTATGCAGTATACTGCATATTTGGAACATATCTGAGAGGATTTATTAATTAAATACACTCCAAGCAGCACTAAAGAATGTCAATTCCGTGAATCAAGCAGAGCTCAAGCTTGATATTTTTACCCAACATGAACTTAAATACCAAGGCAGTCGAACATGGAACGCATTCTACGAAAAATGGTTCTCAAAGAACAACATACACGCTGCTATATTTGTCCTTGACTGTTGGAATCCAGTCTAGAGAAGGATGCATTTGACATCGGGCAAATTGCTGTCACTGTACAAAACTTGATTCCAATCCCTAGATGTGTTTACTTAGTTCTCTTCGTGCCTTGAGCATAGAAGACCTGCACAGAGGACCTCCATCTCTGCCTGTCTGCCGATATTTGCTGCACCATGCCCCAAGTCCATCCCTGATCTTCCATCCACTTTCATCCTTGTCTCCTTTGGTCGCCCTCTTTTCCGATTTGAAGTGTTCATCTTAATGCTACCTTTGGTATATCTGATGTTTCCATTCTGCGGACATGACCAATCCATTTCTATTGTTTTTCTTTAATCTGGTCAAATACCGTATGGCAGCTGTTGTGTTCTTTCATACAGCTCCTCATTGTTGATCTTGTTCGGCCAGATTATCGTTTGTTTGTTCGTTGTTTAACGTCCCTCTCGAGAATTTTTCACTCATATGGAGACGCCACCACTTGCCGGTGGAGAGCTGCAAATTTTGACCTATGCTCGGCACTCAGAGACATTGAGCAGTGAGGGATCTTTTTCGTGCCAGCACCTACTGCGACAAGGGATCTCGGTTTATACGGTCTCATCCGAAGGACCGATCTCCACGTCCCACAGTGGGATTCGAACCCGCGACGTAAGGATTAACTCCTTACTCCACGACTCTAGAGCAGACGCTTTTACCACTGCGCCACGCGGGCGACGCCAGATTATCGTAAGTATTCTACGGAGGCATCTTGTTTGGAAGGTATCTAGTTTTCGGGTGATGTTGTTTGTCATCTTCCAGGATTTCATAAAGGAGGACTCGAATAACAATTGTTTTGATTATCCTTATTGTCCCCCGCTTTCGCGAAAGCGAGGGGACATTAAATCTCAGTCGCCTGACAGTCTGTCTGTCAATAAAACTTTAACCTTGGTCATAACCATAATTAAATGAGAAGAGATAGGGCTTTCACATTTCATATGTACATTACCCGTGACAAGACCTTTCCAAATATGCTATTATTTTTCACCCCGTGACCTTGACCTTGAAGTT